TATACAAACATTGAATATTAATGTATTATACAGTGAGCATATAATTATTATGCAGTGAGCACGAAAAATATTATGATTTATGCATAATAAAAGATCCTTAAAGTTTTTGAAACGACTCGTTTTACTGTTATCATTTTCTTCTATAACTGCAACACTTTTTACTTATGCTTACGCATGATTGGAAGATTAAAATCGACCATTACATTGTCACGTTGCCTAACAGAAGTTTGATGACGTCATTGTAAAAAAAATTAAATGTCCCGATAACTACAACTTGTTTTTGTATATTTTGATATAGGTTTTACTGAAAAATGAAATGACGTAATTTACAACATTTTTGTTAATTAATCTAAAATAAATTGTAAGCAATATAGCCGCATCAAAAGTTTAAAAGTAAAGTTCTAAATATTTTTGAGACTGTACATTTACTTCCATGTCAATAATAGATCATGAAAAAAAATTCTTCATATTCATTTATAATGTTAAAACATTTAGTTTTAAAACTAACAAAGAAAAAGTGAAATTTTTGAGAGAGCATACGGAATTCCATAAACGACAGCCTACTGCTCACTGCCTACTGCTAACTGGACAGCCTGCTGCTCACTGCCTACTGCTAACTGCTTATTGGCAGTCTAAGTCTATGTATGGATCAAATAGAAGTATTCCGAATGTACACACATGTGCGCCCGCCATTTTGTTGAAAAAATCTGCTTGAAAAACAATGGTAAGTAAATTAAAAAAGATTATTTTACAAATAAGCCTAATAATTTGTAATTTCGAATTCATTGCAATGACTTGTGTACGTTCCACCATTGCACACTGCATTGATTATGTTATGAAATGGTTCCACGTGCCATTTGCACAGGTGATTGATAAATTGTCAAATATAGGACTCATTTTAGGGTAAATCAACTTAATAATATTTTATTCACAAAGAATCTTTGTTCAACAATCAACATGGATGTACTTGAGCCCACTATTCCTCGGTTGAGAGGCGGAGATCTGGACCATTATGTCAACACTCCCTTATTTTATTTAGAATTTCATAGTTTATTAAACTTTCATTTGACAATGTTATACATTTCTAGAAGAATATCTGTAATACACTGGTGGAATCACGGGTGAAATTTAGGCTAAACATTCTCTCATAATCAAAAATGTGTGAGTTCATTTACGAGGTCATTTTGGTTCAGTTTTCATTGGCTGTTAGTTATAGCTTATAAATGTGTAATTCCTTATTAGATGTTATGTAATGCATTTTTGTTAAGTTGATTGCACTCTTTAGTTTATGTTGCAAAGATATGTGCTTTGAAGGTTAATTATAGAATCAATTTTATTCCAGTACTGAGGGTGATAAATCTGACAGAAACATTTCAATGGAGTAACAGCCTATTCTTTCATTTACTTCACAGACAAGTAACAGAACCAATACACCTGTATGAAAATATTGAAATTACAATGGAAGAGGAAAAGGACTACATAAATGTATTGGTTCTTAAAGGCGAGTTTAACTCGGCTTCCTTCTGAAAGCATAAACAAAGACAAACTTGGCTCAAATTGTTTCAAAAACGTTCAATATTTCAATGACATAAAGAGTGCAAACATGAAGTGATAAATTACAGTTTGGACCAGCTTATTTTACTTTTATGAAAAGCCATCGTTATTCTCTTGTTTAAATTCAATTGTGTTATTGATAAACTCTGAGAAATAATAGATTCTTAACTATTTAAATTTACTTAAACATTTCTGATAGACAAAATGATCATGTTAATGTTCAATATATTTTTTTGACGTGTTTGTTTAAAATCCATCTTTTATATAATTTTATAATTACATGTATCTTGTTAACAAACACACTTAAAAGTGAACTTTAAGGTTGGTTATTTTTTCTATTTCTTTTGGCAATTACCGCAAGTAAAACCAATGAGCAAATCTTCCTTCGTATGTGCCAGAATCATCCAATGAAAGTCATTGCTATTTCTATCAGGGTTTTAAAGGTTTGACAACTTAGGTAAACAGTTCTAAAAAATCGTGATAGTGTAGAGCTTCTATGGTATAATATGAAGCATTTTTAGGTTACCATTCTTACAACGTGTATATCACTTTATATTGCAGAGTATATTTACATTAATATAATTTCATAACAATTATATAATTCATAACAGAACTTTTAATTATAATTCTGCTTTTATATTAATTGCTTTCCCCGAAACTTTACAAATATTTTATATAGACTTTGATTTTTTACAGGCGTGTCATAATTTTTATTTTAAATAACGGCGTATACAAGAAAATATTAGCTTACTGGTCTAAACATATTTTTTATGTTATGTTTTTATCAATAAGTGTATTTTGTTTTCGTTTTAATTGAAAATAAAAAAGTTCTTTAAAAATAAAATATCATAATCTTCTTGTAATTTTGTTTATGTTTAGCCCCCCCCCCCCCTCCTCCCGGAAAACAAAATTATGACAAAATGAATTGAAAATGGTTATATATATGTTAACCATAAAGCAAAGTTTGTTTGTTGAATGTTGTAACATGACCAATTTTGAAAAAAAACAAACATTGTCCACATTTAAACAGTGTCTTAGTCCATCAATTTTTAATGCATGGGATCGCGAAAAGTATGCATAAGGAAGATCAAGATTACGTTATATTATTAGTTCCATAAGAAATACATCTGAAGCTCCAATATCTGGCAAATTATCTGAATATTTTTGTTCAAAACAGCTTTACAAGTTAACCTAAACACTCTTTTCTTAAGACAATGAAATGAAATTACGGACGTGCAGCAATATATTGATTAGTCTGTTTTCTATCCTGTAGTTTTAATGCCTTTATCATAAGTTATAAAAATTAGAATGTAACAGAGGCAATACTGCAAAAACTAAGAAATTACATGCGGAAGGCATTACATTGACTCAAATTTAGGATTCGCAGTTCATCATATTGTTAAACAAATACTAACATCACTTTGTATTAATAAAGCCCAAGTCACTCAAAGAGCTTTCAATGATTTTATTATGCATCGACTTTCCAATTATAACACAATAATTGACATGTTAGTCATCATGCTTCGATCTGTCGAATAAGATTTTAACATCAACTAAAGTAACATTTTCTTGAGTCAAATCTAAGGCTTTGTAGAATTAAGGTATACAAGTACGGTCTACAATCACCAGAACAAGTATGAACATTTTTAGATAAAACTAAACGGTTCCATGTATGATTTGGACCATGAAGTGTGTATACTCTCCCAGTACGTTTAACGTTTATCAGAATAAACTACTGGTAATTCGAGACGTGACTGGTTATTTGTTTGGGTCGTAACAACGCTGGAAAGTATTGGTGGCTATACAAAAACAAATTGGTTTATAATCTCACAACCTTCACCTTTCTGACATTCTGAGACCCAAACAAATTCAGCGCCTTCTGTGCTTTGATATATATAATTGTGTCTGAAAAACTAGATATCTATGTTTTGAGCACCATTCATTATCTAGATTATTTTTTAACAAAACTTTGTAGCATTATTTTCAAAATACGAACATAAAAGTGACCGTTGTGATGACATTACAAGGCCTCCGTTTAAAAATATCATTAAGCTCTATAGTCATAGGGTAGGGTCAATATCATTCAATGAACAAATATTATAATATACATGTTATATGGTAGATGTATCTAAGCTTGAACAGGGATAAACATGTATAAATAATTAAGCAAGCAGTTATATTTGTTAGCTCAAAATTACCGAACAAGATTTAATGACAGAAAAACTTGTAATATTTGGTTTGATAACATTTTTATAAAGTTTACAGGTCTATAGATGATTTGGAAAAGTTCCAGATGCCTGCAAAGATATATACTTATTTTTCTGCTTAGTAAAACGAGAATTATACATGTACATGTATAAATGTAACAAGTTCCAAGGTTTCAGTCAAAGTCTTCATAAATGATACAGAGTAATTCCTTGACTAATACTGTTTCAAACGGCCTCATTGTAACATATAAACACATTGGAAGAAGGACATAAAAAGCCAACATTTACTTTCAGGCAATTAATCGGGTATTAGACAGGTGTAACAGTTGGCATTTATCAATTAACAGTAAGCATTAAACAGTAAACAGTAGCTGTAAGCATTGAGCAGTTGAAAGTAAGCAGTTGACAGTAGGCAGTTGACAGTAAGCAGTTGAGAGTAGGCAGTTGACAGTAAACAGTAGGCTGTCGTTTATGGAATTCCGTAAGAGCATGTTATGTGGTTAAATAATAAAAAAAGTGTAATAAGTATTTCATACACTACAGCATTAAGTGAATTATTCTAAATACATGTATTTTTCAAATTGACAATCGTAGGCCCTCTTTCAACAAAAAAAACCTGCGCAGATATATTTCTCATGCATGTTTAAAAATCTAAACATTATCTCTTAAACATTTTAATAACTAGTTTTGCATTTAGATTTCTCCTCGAATTATCCTCCAGTATTCAGCGGTTGACACGCCCTATACATGATTTTGTATATACCGTCAACGACGTATTCTCTTCATACATATATCAGATGAGAGAGATTAAATTTGTAAAAGAAATTTTAAAACATAATATTTTAGTTCTGGATAAAAAAGAATAAAAGCAACGAAAACCACTCGATTTGATTGAGTCTGTTCATGAGAGAGGATGTTATAGGTAGCATCCCTCGTGTCTGCGACCCCCGGCACCGTCATAAGCTGTATTATATATAATTCAATTGTTTGTTATTATACATATTTCAAAATTATTATATACTTTCAGTTGCAATGAAGACTAAACAAAAAGGAAACATACTGGTTATGAAAATAATTGTTTAAACAAAACATTAACTGATGTATAATGCCACCTATGTTAACGCTAAATGTCTCTTGTTGAGTAGGCAATAATTGCGGCTATATATCGAAGATATCTACAGTGTCATTCACTATTGAAAAACTAGTCATTCGACTGACTGACTGTAAACGCGTTGTTTAAACAGTTGTCTTTATTAGCTGTAGTGAAAATATTCTTACAATGGGAATTTACTTTTCACGGAGTAAAATTTTAAAGTGGAACAAGTATTGTGTAGAACAAAACTTATAGACATTTCTTTGTTTATCACATGACGGTGCACGGGATGAAATAAATCATAAAAATGAATAGTTCAAATACTTCTTTGTATCACATGAAGTCCGGTACTTCTACACTGGTCTATAACATCATCGGAATTACGATGTCTATTTTGTTTATCGTAGCTCTGTTTGAAAATATTTTGGTGCTGGTTATATATCGCTCAAATAAAAAGCTGCAAAGTAAAACGAACCTTTGGATAATTGCTGTGATAGTGTGCGATCTACTCATTGTTCTCAACGCGTTTCCATTTCTAATAATAGCAAGCTTTGCGCAAGAATACATTTTCGGTTTGGCTGGATGTAAATGGGACGGATTTGTTGTAACGCTCTTAGGAACTAGTTCTATATTCCTTCTAACAGGACTGTCTGTACACCGGTGTTTAATCATGATGTTTGGTACAAGAACACGGTCATACAAAAGAACAAACATCATACTATGTATTGTGGCGTGTTTTATTTTAGGGCTATTTTGGGGAATAACCCCTCTGATAGGTTGGGGATCATTTTCCCTAGAAGGAATAAACATATCTTGTGCACCGGATTGGAGATCCCAAAGAATTGAAGACTTGACGTACACGATTGCCATGTACGTGTGCGTTTTGTTCATTCCACTTTTGATAATGGCTTATTGTTATTTTCGGATTTTATTAAAGGTAAATTTTTAATTTTATTTGCCATATTGCACCATTTGCTCTTATTGGTATTTATTATGATAGCGATTTCTATCTTCAATTACTTGACATTTTGTTTATAGCAACAGTTGTTTCTAACTTCAAAATAGCTCAGCACCTTTTTTGAGTCACACTGTCTTTGTCCGAGGTGTTTGTCGCATGCATGACCAAGATTGTTCAAGCCTTACATTTTGCCCTTTCCTACATTTTACGAAACAAATGGACAACGAAATGAATACCATATAAGCGTATGTGTATCTCATCAAATGTCATACATTTACAAGTATCTCCATTATAATTATATGAATGTATGTTTTATTTTAAATACACATTTATATTCATATTGACCCATGTAAGAAAAGCAGAAGTATCCGGATATATGCTTTTATCAGAAATATACAATTCAATATGTTTTTAATCAATGTAATTATTTTTCTATACTTAAATTAATTAATTAAAAAAATAAGATTAACGCGCCAGTCTAGTATAAATCTAAGGATTACCGGCTGCGTTGGTTCAAACCCCGTCGGAGGCAAGCCGTTGTTTAAGCCCCAGTCACATTAGAGCTTACGACCAGTGAAGACCAGTTCACGATCACCAGTGACCTCTGGTCGCGGACAATCTTTAAAACGTCTTACGACGGTCATCGATGATCTTTGACAGTCGCAGGTTATCTTATTTTAGGTCCCACGACCAATTTCAGTCGTAGAGAGGTTTTTGAGCTTGCACAAAAACCTCCTTGCGATCAAACAGGCTCGCTAGAGATCTTATAAGGTCTTAAGGCTGTCGCACGATGGTCGTTCGGAAGTGCGACAATCTTACGACAGTCTTTACAAAATTGCCACTAGTCACTGATAATCTTAAGTAGTCTTTAGTAATCGTGTGACGGTCGTACGACAAGTTGTAGGTGATCGCATGTTATGTCAAGGGTAGTCGTAAGAAATCCCAGGCAATCTTGAGACCATCGTACGTTTACTTATGACCTGTCGTGCGATTGACAATGATGACTTGTCTTACGATAGTCGCAAAAGTAAATTTATCTGTTCAAAAATGGTTTCGGTCGCAGACAATCGCTGATGATCGTCAGTTTTACAAGTCGCCGGTGGTCGCAAGTAATCACAAGCTCTAGTGTGACTGGGGTTTTACTTGAGCAAGAAATTTTACACTAATTGCTAAAGTACTGGTTAATTCCAGGAACGAATTCGATAGTGTTTCAATAAGCTTAAAGCTTCCAATACAATCGAACTGAAACAAACTAGTATAAACTAAATCAATTCACATTTTTCTACTGTTGATGGAAACAAGGAAATTGATTTCTAATCAATTTATTTTACAGGTTATATTTACAATACAGCTCGAGACAAAAATAAACTCATACGTCACGAGGGCTCATAAATATTGGCAAAATGGATTAACATGATAATGCCTAAATTTGAAATTTCTGACAGTTTATATCGCTTATTATGTCACCATTAGCATTTTATTTAACTATTCATTTAACTATATATTTAAACCTCGCGGGGTCTACCTGCATAACAGTTTACCCATCCTTACAAAAAGGTAGTCAACGACCAAGTGCGTTTGACGCTAATAAGAAGATAAAACGTTTTTACACCTACAATCGCTCCTAGTTCGCTCCTATTTTAGCTGTTTAAATCGGTTATTATTTCTTCTTATCAGAATCTAACTATTTTCATCAAGATCTTTTATTTACTGGTGAAATATGTATACTAAGATCATTAAAATATATTTCGACTACAAAATCACTCTTTTTAAATCAAAAGCATCATATTGTGTTACTTCATTCAAAAGACACTTGTATTGATATAGATATTGTGTGAGAAAAGGCTTTACAGAATTTTCGTTTGTTCTTGTATTTCAATTGCCGTTGATTTAAAGAGCATTCCAGTTTCTCTATATTTGTCATTTGATGATCCATAATGAGCTGTCGTGAATTAACGCGGTAGTTTGTAGTTGTCCTATTGTATAGTGGACTTATATTATGGAAATGAAAATATATCCAGTTTACTTCGAATTACAGTATTGCCTGTCAATGTTTTTAATTTCTGACTAAAAAATAATTTTATGTTTAACCGTTTAGGTGTATTGGGACGTGCCGTTCGTGGAAAGGATCAATAAAACCAGGACAGAACACTTCTGTTCATAGTAATAAGTGACTTCCGTGACCTCATTTTTAAATATTTTAATGTGTTTTACATCAACAATATTACAATTTGAATAACAAGTTCAGTTGAATTCTTGTATTGATAAAATCTTATACAGGTCATAAATTTTAAATTTTAATCAAATCATAACGCAAATTAATGATGTCAAATCTTTATTGCTAAAACGTTATTTGAAACATAAACACTTTAAAATGGCAATGTAATTGAATTACCAGAGAAAATCACACATTTCTTGGAAATCTTGAAAAGGGGTGATCCCTCGGCAGCAATGAAACAACAATACTATATGGAAATTACAGACTTGGTTTCATAGAGTTTTTTTTAAGAGAGATGATGTAAAAGTAAAACATCTCTAACCCCCTCCCCGCACCGGTATTTAGGTTTCATTTAAATCTTCAAAGGTTTACCAGCCGACAAGACTGTCAGATCTGTCGAACATCATACAAGTGAGATCTGGGATTTGAAAAGTGAGTAGTCTGAGGCAAAAAGTTATGATCTCTTTCAATCATATCAATGTAAAAAAAAAACTTATTACTATTATTTGTTTTGATATAAAACTGGCGGTTGCTAATATATTTGTGCTTTTAACATTGAGAAAATACCATTCTAGACAAAATTGTACAATCATTTGAATTAAAAAAATACAATGTAGAAAGATAAACAAATCAAGCCTGTTTATCACAGATTTGAATAGTAACAGTAATCATATATTTTTTAAATTTTGAAACATTTTTGCCTTTTGTGAGCTGTTTTGTTAATTAAGGGAAAAGGTTTCAGATTTAAATCATTAAAAAATAATATTAATTGTCACTTTACACTGTAAGAAGGAGTAACAAAATGTAATTAGAAGTGAAACACATTCTTTGCAGATTTCTCAGGTGACAATATTTAATTAACAATATTGATCACCGTAATAAATGACCTTCACATTAAGTTGTCTATTTTTATCAATATTATTTTACATATCATTACTTGTAATTCTTATTAGCCTTTTATAGTACATAAGAGAGAACTATAAGCAGAGGAGATGAGTTCGACGGTCAGCCTGAAAGTTTGAAAATTTAAAAATCAAAATCATGTTTAGAAAGCGTCATTAATTTGTACAAACATGACTTTTTATAGCATAATAGATATATTTTATGTGCTTCAGTTGAACAGCTGATTTATTTTTTACAAGAAATCCTCACTTACAAATTGTATTTATTTCTTGCAAATGTTTAGAATATTAATCGAATGTTTAAGAAAATAAGTGAACTCTATTATTTAAATGAAAATGGAGATTTAATTACTGAAATTTACAAAAAAGGTAATGAATATTTTAAATCACGTCGTTCTTTATTTCCCCAATAAATATTAAGCAAAAGTTTTAACATTAAAATTATAAATCAAAGTTGTAGACACAATTATATCGATTCCAAACATTTCGCTTCTCGTCGTTCAATGCTTATTAAATAGAAAGTTTACAACGTAAAAAACAATTGTACGTAATACGTAATACAGATAACAGGAATTTAAATAGAATAAGAAAAATAAAACGCCTTAGGATTTCAGTACTTGAAAAAAAAGTCACATGCTTAGATAATTTAAGTGATTATTGGCAGGATTTGGAAATAAGAAACATATTTTCGAAATCTATGTACCATTTGTTGTAGATTTAAATCAATACTTTTTCTGCAAAATAGTAGACCTTTCGCTTATTTAGTGCTTTTGCTAGAACTAAAATAATAATTTACTGTCAAAATGCTTAATAGAGTTACCTGCTCCTGTCTACAGGTTGGGGTCATGATGGTGAATAAGTGTGCAAAGTTTCAAAGCCATATGTCTATGGACTTTGAAAATATTTGAACTATTACAAAAACTTTAACGTAAATTCTAAGTCGAAAAAGGGGCATAATTCTGTCAAAATGCTTGATAGAGTTACCTCCTCCTGTCTACAGGTTGGGGTCATGATGGTGAACAAGTGTGCAAAGTTTCAAAGCCATATGTCAATGGACTTTGAAAATATTTGAACTATTACAAAAACTTCAACGTAAATTCTAAGTCGAAAAAGGGGCATAATTCTGTCAAAATGCTTGATAGAGTTACCTCCTCCTGTCTACAGGTTGGGGTCATGATGGTAAACAAGTGTGCAAAGTTTCAAAGCCATATGTCAATGGACTTTGAAAATATTTGAACTATTACAAAAACTTTAACATAAGTGGTTACACCGACGCCGACGCTCGGGTGACTGCAATAGCTCTACTTATTCTTATCGAATAGTCGAGCTAAAAATGATAATGTCTAGACTGTACCGTTATCTTAAGTGCTAAAATGTGGGAAATGGCTGTGGACGTTTCTTATTTCTGAATTAAGTGGATAAACAAATCCGATATTTTTATGATCTGAGCATAACTGAAAAATTATATGGGATATTTATGGAAATTTGTGTGTCATTGAATATTCATTAAATAAAAGTAGAATATGAAACTGAACTAAGCTACTATGGCAAAATGTAAACTTATTTTGACTTTTGCAAGTAATTTTAACGTTTACTCTAAGACGGGCATAATTTGATACTGGTTTTAGAACTATTATATTTTTTGGGGAAAGAAATATCCCCAAAACCTCATCCTGGCGGCGTCACCGATGTTACTTTATCTTAGCTTTCTTCAGTGGTTTGACAATTCGTAATAATAATTGTAATAATTTGAATAAGAAAATGCCACGGATAAATATTAGACACAATTATTTTAAAATCTGTCGTTCGAATTTCAAGGTGGCCACATTTTAGAGAGAATTCATCAACACATTTCTACA